TATATATATATATATCTATATACATGGAATATCATTCAACGGTTTACTGTGAGACCACATTCTCCGCATGCTAAAGCTGAAGCTGATGAATGTGAATCACGAGGGAGTTTAGCACTGACAAAAAGCTGCTTCCGAGAATGTTCGAAGGAACGGATTATCTAGGATTGCTCGGCCCAGCGAAGGCTGGCTTACTACGACCCAGGGTAGAAATATAGTAACAAAGGGTGCGATGAGTGACGAATACTTTAAAGAGTAGCAATTTTGGCGATTTCGAGGCGTTTTAAGACACAAACTTAGCTAAAGCTATACCACGTCAAAGGTTGTTAGCCGCTACATTTATCCAGTGCGTGATGATGATATATGAGAGAGAATCTCCACCCATTGTTACAGTTTGGATGAAAACGTTTAGCGGGTTGCAACAAAGACAGGTAATTTTTCAGCATTTACAAACAGATAACTTGATGTGTACCCTGGTTTCAAGTGGATTGTGAGAGATTGTGACGAAGGTTCCGGGACATTCACATGACAATTCAGAGGATATGCTTTTGTACAAAGTTCGACGAAACTGCTTATGTCCTATGATTAGCTGGGAGACCAGACCAACTGCAACGACGGCGTCGGAGAAAGTTACACTGGTGATCCTGAATGGATGTCACCACTATCATCAACAGTAACAGCAAAACCACAAATTGAATTGCAAAAAAGCTCAAGGAGTGTCAAATAAAAGAGTGGACAGAGGGTACTTAACATTTGCCCAAGACGTTCACACCTCCAAGAGCTCACTCGAATAATCTGTACATAAACTAACTAACAGAGTAAAGGTTTGTGATCCTGAAGAGGAACCATGATCTATGTCAATAACGAAGGGTGCAGAACCCCTCCGGAGATTGAAACCTTTCGCACCGGACAGACATCCACGAAGCTAATCGAATCGCTCATCTGTAGCATCCTTTCGATGCACAGTTGCTGTGCAACTAGAAAGAAGCACAAAAGCTGATATACCATCTGGGTGTCGAAGCTTAGGGGAGAGGAATCAAAACTCCAAGATTTGATTCGAAATACATACGTCCCCGTCAGTAATTTGCGCCTTAACCGCTGTGCCAAATTAACCAGCTTTCAATGGTCTAGATCAGAAACGGGGAAGATCTGACCGCTAAAGGTAATCTGTCAGATCAGTTCGCATCTACCAACCCTTCCGTTTAAAGAGGACAGCTTATCAATGCTGGATTCCAAAGAGTATAGAACGATCATAAAGCCCTACGTCCTTTAGGAAAGCGTCAAGGTTCATGGACTTTCCAACAGGAATGAGATAAACACGTCCAAGTAGTGGGTCAGGGGGATATGGAATTGACAAGTCAACCTGTCAGCATTCATAGCAACCATAAAAACACCACCATTACCACGTGCAAATCTGCCATGCAAATACATCACGTCCCCCATCTGGACCAGGTATGTGCGGCATTTATGATGTACAGGAAGAATCCAAAGAATGCCAACCAAGGGGACACAAACATTCCACAGTACGATACTCCACAACTCCGTGTGGATGGGATTGAATGAGTAAACCTACCTGGGCTCCAAACCACCTTCGGGATTGAACAAAGAAGGATCATTAGCAAAGTCCACCGGTCGGCTCCGTCGAGCAAAGCCATCTGAAAGGGGAAACGCTACCATGCTGAAGTCAAACCGAGACATGAGAATTGCCACCCCTCACACACACGCTTCCGTTTTAGCTAACTAAGGTGCGACTTTTCAGATACGCTACACGCGGTACTTTACCAGATTGCTCCATTTGTACACTGGATTTTCGTGTGAATTATTAAGTAGCAAATGGAATAGTAGAAACGAGGTCACTCAGTACAGCTATGGAAAAAATTAAAAGAAGGTGACCGGCATTTGCATTTGACACGCGCTCATTGTTGACTCATTCACAATAAATAGAAAATGCATTTATAGCTATTTCACATGACGGTCGTGGTGCAACAAACTAGACGAAGTGCGGATAACAAGCGGCTCAGTAGTCATCCAATAGTAGTTAACTGCCATCAGGAATTTCATACTAAACATACTACAACGAATGTTAGTCTACTAACACTTCAGACATCATCCATGCGACCTAGCAGCTCAAGGTTGTACCAGAAAACTTAAGCAGCATCTTGGATGAATGACGTACTACTGCGGTAGGAAAAAGTCCACCACCTAAACAAAAAACTTACTATCTTCATTTGACTTCGATCCTATTGTGGTACTCTCTAAAAAGGAAGGGATGGCCGACGGTTTTGGTATCCGATGGGGAACGGAAATCTTTGCACGGAAGGCTTTCTGTGCACCTGGACGCCCAATATGCGAGTTCTCACCCTTATGAGGAAACACCTGTCGAACAGTCGAGGATTTCAAAGCGGTACGGCATGCTTGTCCAATAATCTTTCGGCGCATCAAGAAAGGATTTTTGAAGTGATGGCTAGTTGACTGGTAGCGGAATCTTTGCCTACGCCCTGCAAAGATCCCGTCATTTATTGGAATGACTCACTTTCCGGCTTGACGGTTGGATTCTGTGGCTTCCCTAGCATAGCAGTTATGCCTAAGACATCGGTTGATAAAAAAGAGAAAAGAAAACTTACGCTGTTCAATCTGTTCGGTTATCCCTGAGTTATCTGCTTCCAATTCAAGACGGAACTTTTCTAGTTCCGTATCGAGCTTCCGTACCAGTTTTTCGTACTGAAGGAAAAGCTTGGCAACTAGGTTACATCATACCGTATTATAGATTTTCTCAACAATTTGCCGCTTTTCCCGACAGTTTGAAAGAGCCTTCTCGTACTCCCGTACAATTTCCGAATACCGAACGTTCTGCTGATAATCGGAGAGCCTGTTGTACTTGCAATCTTCAAAATATGTTCTGTTTGCTTCAGCAAGTGGTTCTAGTATACCTGGATAGTACTAGTTAGTGGATAAGGGTGGGGAACTTTGTGTAAGCAGATCTAGCTGTCGCACGGTTGTAAGACTTTCGGTAAGCTCCCCTGGGAGGTTTTCGATGGCTAAGCCGTTAGTATAGAGGGAAAGGAATAAACAACCTTCCATGAAATCCTCGAAATACAGCATTTTCGTAACCAGAGTTATATGGCATGAAAACTGACGTACGGGAAAACAACTTCGTTCCAGCTACCAAAACCGTTACTCTGAAAATGAAGCACGTAACAAACCATAATACATCAGCATGCATGAAAAAAGTGGGATAAAAGCTTCTTTTGAGCTAGGTGCGTAGTCGTGCGTGCCCCGGAATGAGATTATTCACACATAGGTGCGTACACCGCTCAGCAATGCAAAGAGCTGATGTCCAACGGAAAACACCGCAGAATACTGGATAAAGCATGTTCCTTCGGTTGTAGCACTCTTTCAGTGCCTAAATGCCATACCGACAAAAGGAAGCACGAGGACTGAGATACTGCCAGGTTGCCCAAGCCTAGACAGGGGAAGTCGGAAGGCAGAGTTCGGGTTCGAATCATGGGCCTCCCAGTCAGTAAATCTGCGCTCTAACCACTGACTATATACACTCATTGACATAGGAAACTCACTTAAATCTCAAGATTAAAAAATTGACGGAAACTCAAGGACTCCGCCTGCCTGACCAGCCCCAAGAGGGGTCAAACTGGTCGTGGGCTGTCTAAGAGCACCCAACAGCCCGGTGAGTAGTTTTTTATCGCATAAGACATAAAGTGCACAAGTGCTGAAGGTCAAACAACACGATGGTTTCGGAGTTCTGCCTATTTTCATCCTGATCCACTGCTTCCAAACCAAACAACTATATCGAGCAAAGTCATTTCCACACAACTTACATTTTCCCATACCCAGTAATCCGCATGCGAATGTTGATATGCGGATCAACGGATCCACCAAAATATCAGCCAGTTTCATTGGCAGGAGTGGAAACAAGTCTTCTAGTAGATGTGACATTGATAGCTCCAGTTTCCTGACTCAGCTCCCTCGTGATCAGAGGCGTTCGAAACCTGGCGTGTGCTGTCCTAAGTGGACACTCACTGAGGAGGGCAGTGGTCAAATTGTTTTTTTCCACTGTTGGAGTTGGAGTGATTGTTACGCCTTGTGATACTCATGCACTTCTTTGTTCAGTGTTTCCAAATCCGGCTGCGCATAACAAAGTGTTCTTCAAATTGAGAAGTGCGGTGCTTTGAAAGTAACCGGCATTTTCAATGTGTTTAATCTGGAGAAAAGTAAATTGCTAGATGCCCAACACACGAGACTTCAAAGGCGCCCTTCTTACCAAAGTGGTGAGCAACGCTGATAAAACGTACCATTCCACAAAAGGTAAGTTGCCATGAATTAACGGAATAGTGCAGCAAAGTGGATACGTAAAAAAAGAACACATCAGGCATAAGGGAGTTTCTAAAGGAGCTAGCCAATATTATCATGGACGAATGAAACCAAAAACACGTCTGCGAGGCTAAATAGGACAAATTCAAAACAACCTGCATGGATTAATTTGATGAAGACAGAGGTTCGGTCTCATTTGGGGGGGGGGAGGTTGGCGACCATTATATTCGATCAAAACATACGGTGTATTGGTGCCCAATCTCATCCTCTCTTTATCTCTCCATGATCGCAAGAAGTAGCTTTGCATTCTCAAAGGCGATTTCTTATTTCCCATTAAAAACTTAACATCCATATCTGTTGGAAATATCAGCATCCCAAAAAAAACATTACTTTTCAAGTTATTGACATCGAGTACGCAGACGACATAGCTCTTCTAGGATCTGACCCCGTGGCAATGCAAACAATACTAAATAATCTAAATAATTCTGCCTCGCGGTTTGGTATGCGCTTCACACCTGCAAAGTGTAAAGTGCTACTGCAAGACTGGGTGGGCTCGAACCCTA